AAAACCAGTTTAACAAAAGCATGAAAGCTGCAACATCTTATGACAATGTGAAAATAAAAGGACAAGCACAACATGACAAAACCTTTGCTATTAAACCGTACAATATCTGCAATCTACCTGCATCACTTGCTGCCATACGCCAACAAAAAGCCTTCTACAAATTCACAACAACAACACAACAATGCAATTTCAAAATTAAAAAGACAAGTTTGGTAGTTTTATAAGGGGGATTAGAACACAAAGGGAGGGACCAGGAACTCACCATGATCAAAAACCCTCACTAGAGAACTTCAAATATTTTTTCTCAACTAAACCATCAAAAACCGGATTCTCTTCATTACTCAGGATCTTCAACGCACATCTCAAGAGAACCACGAACAACAACGTTACAAATTAACAAACTCCTCCCAACCAAACCTGTAACTGTGTTTCCCTCCATCCACTAAGCCTTGTTTCTATTTCCAACCGCACATGACCACCCTTGTTTCTCTACCATAAACTCACCATCCTCTTCACCAAAACAGCCGCATCGCCTCACTCATCTTTCATCACCACCATTATTCTATATGACACAACGACCATATAATCTTCATTTTTACAACTCCATAAATCTCCACCATTTATGAACCATAAATCCACCTTCCGCAGAACAAAATAGAAAGGAAGAGGGGAAATATAGCATAACATATCAAGACTTGCAATAACAATAACAACATCATCCGTTCGTTATTTATCCTAACAGAGGGAAAGGAAACAATTAGAGAAAACCTGTGAAACGGGATAAGATTGGTCATCGCAACCAAATTTCGGGTTCGAGAGTCGGTTACGCAAGGGGAAGGTATTAGCACTCCCCACGTCTGTCGTACTCGACAGGATTCACGCTTAGTTGTCTATCTAAAAGGGTGATTGAAACTATCTAACTAAAAGTCTCAGGGACAAAAGAAAAGAAAAAGGACTCGATAGATCATCACCGCTCTGTGCCTATGTATTCCCGTTTGGTACGAGAAATCAGAGTCAACGTAGTTCGGCTAACTACGGGTGAAAGTGGGGAAGTTTGCTCGCCAAGACATAGCGTCTTGTGCCTACATATTCTCGCACGGTACGAGAAATCAGAGCAAACGTAGTTCGGGCAAATAAGAACACCGGTTGGTTCACATGTTTTTACCCGAGTAGGGTTAACAATCAGTTATAGCAGTTAGGTGTATGCAGCTCGACCATTGGAGACTTAGGCGTTACCTGTTTGCGGTAGAACTAAAAGTTAACGAAACTCTTTTTTATGAAAATGTTTTCCATTATTAAAGGGTCCCAAAGGACAAAATGAAGTTTGATTATTTGCTTTTGTGTCTTTTAAGGAGAATTGTTTTTGAATTGTTTGTAATTCATATTGCACTAAAGACTATGACCTGGGAGCGAATGCGCCGCACATCATCCAAAGGGTGAACACTAAACACTCTAGGCCATCAAGAGGAAACCCCTCGATAACCATTTCCCAAGTACTTAAGGCTCGTAGCGTACAATATTCATTAGCCTTTATTAAGTATTTTGAAGTTGTTTTGAGATGGGAAAGAGAAGGGACACAACTAAAGGGAACTAGTTCAAAACCTAGTAGTTGTCATGCAAGATGAACCTATAGTTGAGGTTAAAGGAAAATTCTACTTAATGTTCTCATACATGGATTGAAACCTAGTGTCTATCACAATCATCCTTAAATAAGAAGATTGGAAGTCCTAAGGGAGCATGGTAAGAAAGGAATAACATGAGATAAGACATGAAATAAGAATTAATGAATGCATATGCAATGCAACACACAAACAAAGGGAGGAAATAATGTGGGGGTAAACACCTCCACAAGCACATCTCAACCTTTATTAATGTAAGTAAGAAATGCACAAAGAGAAAATAACACACAAGCAAAGAGAGGAAATAATGTGGGTTGAAAACCCCCAGAAGCACATCTCGACCTTTATTAATGCAAGTAAGAAATGAAGAGAAAGAAAAGCTTACAACATGCATACTTCAATCTTAATGCACAAAATCATACTACATGAAAGGGAAAATAAGGAGAGGATTGAATAAGATGATGGGAGGCAAAGTGAGAACCAAGGGAACTCACAAGGGCTACTCAACCAAACATACTACATTCAATATGCACACAAATCACACAAATGGTCCTCAAAGGCTCACTACTTATGGCATGCCTTAAGTTCCTCCAAAGGAGGGACCAAGCTTCCATAAGTACGATCCTAAAGTCCTAGGACATAAAGAGATGAGGGTAGAATATACTCCAAGTAAATGAAAAGAAATGCACCAAAGAATGCAAACAAATGATGACAAAAGAGTGTAAACATTCACATACATGCACATATGGAAAACCCTAAAAGAAAGTCCTAAAAGGAAGACAAGTATCAACAAGCTACAAACCACATTAGGACCTATAATTGAACCTATACATGCTTCAACATCTTAGTGGTATAAAACAACAAGAGTTGGTGCTCAAAAGTATGCACAAATATCATTTTCAAGGTCTATTAGTTCAAGCATGTGTGTGAGCTTCAATTATAGGACACCTAACTTGTGAAATACCCCAAAATAGTAAACAAACTCAAAAATTGCCAAATAAAATCCTGGGTGACCCCTTAGGTGTTAGGAACTAGGGGTCAAAAGTGTGGGAGCTAAATCCAAACACAGCTATGCAAACAGAGGAGAAATTCAAAGGGATATCCTAGATGCAAGGGTAAATCAAGGGTCCTAAAAATCAACCTAAAACCCTAATGAAATCTACACAAGCCAGGGGCAAAATGGTTCAGAAAAATCACATAACATGTCAAGAATGTGAGAAACAAGAATCAGACATTGATATGAAGAAATCATCAAGAAATGAAATTAAAATCAACAAAGATGCATTTTTAATCCACTTAAAAAACCTCAAGAATGAAAAATCAATTTTAATTGGAAAATGACTCAAAAAATTAATTGGAAAATTTGTAAAATCAATTAACATGATAAAGTGTATGAAAATATTTTTGTATGATTTTTAAACATATTTAAGGTATTTTTAATGGAATTAAACTCAAACAGAAAATAAAATGGAAAAAGAAATAATGAAAAAGAAAATAGAAAAACGTGTGTGGCAGTTAGCAATTTTTTTCCAGTTATTTCTTGTGGGCTTAGCACGCAGGGGGTGCAAATATGAATTGTGGCCCATGATCCAAAACTAAATCAGAGTAGAGCGAAACGCTCCGTTTGATTAACTCTACGTGGCAGTCAACTGGTCAAACAAGGATCAAGATATAATCACAGCCGTTAGATAGGTTCAGGTCAAAGAGTCAGAGGGTGAGGTGGCTATACATGTATGCACTCCTGAGGGAATAACCAAACGCCGGAGCCACCGTGCTCCAGTCGTCTTCTCCGATTGCCCAAAGTTGCAGGTGGATCAAAAGTCCACAAAAACCTAAGATTTTTGAGTCTAAACTCATCTACGCGTTGTACTGATCACTAATCTAACCTTAGTTCTCATTTATCACTCCTAAATCAAGCAACACGAATCAGGGACGGATCTAGGTTTAGGTCATTGGGGGCACTTGCCCTCACTAATTTATTTATTTTATATTAAATAATTAATTATTTTAGTTTTATTTTTTTTAAAAATTAAATAATGCCCCCATAAAATAAATAAGTTAATTTTAATTATAAATAATTAAATAAAAATTAACTTAAAAGATAAGTTGTTATGAATATCTAACTTAAAGATTAATTTGTTGTTTGAATAACTATTATGTATTTATTTTATCTTTTTCAATTTTTTGATGTAGTACTTTAATGGCAACAAAAAGGTACTAACTAAATTAAATTCACAAGACAAATATATATTTATTTTAATAAATTTTTATGCAAAAAATTTCTAATATGCAGTATGTAATATTTAAAATATGTGTACTTCCTTCTTCACATAAAAAGTATCTCAATTTTATATTTTTTTTAATGTTTTAAAATAATTATCTCTTCAAAATATGATATAATATTTATTATTATTTTTTATTACTATTTCCATTATTTATTAACTTTAATTTAATTCAATTATGTTATTTACTATAATTAATAAACATATTCTTAAAAATGACATTGATTTTTTTATTAAAATTAATATATATATATATATATATATATATATATATATATATATATATATATATATATATATATATATATATATATATATATATAATTATTTTAAAAAAAATATTGTTCAAATAAAATATTTTTTATGAGACGAAGAAGTATTATTTCGCTCCCACTAATTAATATTTCTGGATCCGTCCCTGAGCGCGGGGCACTAGGGAGATATGATCGACAATATGTTAGATAACACTAATATTGCAGGAGCCTCACACCAAATACCTCATGCTCAGGCAAATAATATGAGACCCCAAACACCTCAAAGAAATCGTGGGAGACCTTGACGGCAAGCGAATGCATCAGGGTGTGGAATTAGTGGACGTTACAATCAAACGGGCTATTAAAATTTTCTTCAATTATTGTGTAATTCTATTTTATAAAATATATTATAATTTAACTTTTTTATTTAACATTTTCTTATTATTACTTTTTTATTACTATAATTAAAAAAAAATCAAATACACTGAGGTCTCAGCTTGCTTTTAACTTTTAAAAATATGCGCCTAGACATTGACATGTCACTAGTGCATAAATTAATTTCAATTAGAGTGCATGCTGTCATTGACAATATTTTTTTTAACAAATTTTTATTTATTTAAAACATAGTTATTTTGATAAATAATTATTTAATATTTTTTTAAATACCATTTTAAAAAAATTTCATGTATCCGATATTGAGAGAGAAATTAATGTTTTTATTTTTATTTATTTATTTTATAAAGAATATCAATTTAATACCAGTATACTACTAAAAACACTTATTGGAGGTGTTCCAGTAGTATACTCTAGACCTCCACCGCCAGTTAGCTACAACAGAACAGGCGATGGCGATGATCCGCCACCGCCTAGCGACGTTCACTCGACGCTTATGTTCCTCCTACTCCACCACAAAAATCCCCACACTCTACACCACCGACACCCCCGACTCAACAACAATCCAACTCCTCTCTTGGGGCAAAGGCGCCTCAGGCCAACTCGGTGGCGGCGTTGAAGAAACTCGTCTCTACCCTTCTCCAGTCACCAATCTACTTCTCCCAAAATCCTCTTTCACCCTTTTCGAAACCCCCGGGCTTCTACCCAGGCCTGAGAAGACTAATAAAGGTGTGGAAATGGGTATCTCGTGTGGGCTTTTTCATTCTTGTTTGGTTGTTGATGGAGCCCTTTGGGTTTGGGGGAAAGGGGATGGTGGAAGATTAGGGTTAGGTCATGAAAATTCATTGTTTGTTCCTACTTTGAATCCTCACCTTGATAATGTTCGGTCTGTTGCTCTTGGTGGGTTGCATTCCGTTGCGCTTACTTCTGCTGGTGAAGTTTTCACATGGTCAGAATCACTTCAACCTTTTCTTTTGTTTAGTTTAATGCCTTTTTTGATTGCTTGTTTGTTTAAGACTCTTTTTATTTATTTATTTATTTATTTATTTTTTAATTTTTTAATATTAATGTATATCATAAAAGACTGTATTCAACACTCAATGTGTATAAGCACCAATACTCAGGGGTTGGTTGGATTCTAAGAGTGTGTTTTTTTCAAAGGTCTTAGGTTCGAATCCAAGTAGGTGCTAACCATTCCTATGTCGGGCTAAGTCCATACAGTGTTTTGCTCTGCTTTAAATAAGGTCCAACAAGTGGATGGTGGAATTGGTCCCCTTGTATTAGTTGGTCGTAAGGCCGGATATGAAGCATTAAAAAAAAAATGAAGCATTCACAAACATGACAGAGACACATATTCCGAAGCACAAATACAAATCCAGACACAAGACAACACTTATATGATTTAATAAAATCGAATTTATAAAATGTAGCTACATGTGTGGGTGTTGTGTCAGTCCATATACTAGCCACACCTTCTATATGTAGTGTTCATGCTATATAACTAGACACTACCTGGAAGTGTCAGTGTTGCACATAATTTAATGTTGCCTAGAAGAATTGATTCTGAAATTAATTCAAGAGGTTGGAATAGTTTATATGTTAACTAAGACATCTTAGCTTGACAAAGAAGGGTAGTCACGAATCATGATTAGTCAACATTTTAAAGGAGGTTGTGTGTGTTTTGGAGGGAGGGGGTTTAATAATAAAACATGATTTTGAATTATTTGGTTAAAATTGAGTTTGATTTGAAATGCTCTTAGTTTGGATGTTTTAATTCTAAAAGAAATTTGTATATACAAGTTTGTGTAAAATTTTCAACATATTCAACAGCTACAATATAACAGTTCTAGGCAAACTGAAGTTTAGATGTAAAATTAATTCTGATACAAAACAACCAAACATACCAAAATTAAGTTTGCCTGAAGGCAATTCCTCCCATCCAACCCTAGTGAAGTTCTACTACTTCCTTCCACAAAATTGGTATCCATTGCATGTAAATTACAGCTTTCAGAATGGTTTATACATTTTGTTTTCTTTTATAAATGTATATTTAACAACATAAAGGACTTTGTTAGGCTGTGAACATTTATATAATTTGAAGGAGTTAAAAAACTTTCAAAGTTTATGATGATGTGAACATTTAAAGTTTTATGCAATGCATGTATCCATTTTCTCTTATCTGAATAACATAAATTTCTATGGATGAAAATAAAGTTTGCAGGGGTTATGGTGGTTTCGGTGCACTTGGACACTCGGTATATCATAGGGAGCTATTCCCTAAGTTGGTAAAAGGATCCTGGGAGGGAACTATAAAACACATTGCTACCAGTGGAGCGCATACTGCGGCAGTAACAAAATCAGGTTCTCAATTTCTCTCTCCCCCTTCCCTCCCCTCCCCTCCCCTCCCTCCCTCTCTTCAAATACAATTTTGTTATACACATCTGATGGAAACCCCAAAGTCAAGAAAGGAAGTGATACTGAAAATAAGAGATAACAATGGATAAATAGTCGTATTTTATTGATAATAGAATTGTTAAGAAATGTGGTTGGGTCTAACTCAACCCTACAAAACCGACTGGTAGAGTGAGGATTGTTAGAATCAAATGCTGGAAAACTTACTTAATTGAATAAGAAAAGGCCAATAAATAGGCTTACATAATATCACACGATCTCCCTAACTGCCCCATTATATGTGGAGCAGTTTATTCCTTCCTAAAATCAAGGTACTGACTTTGACTGAAACAATAAAATAGTTAACAATAAGCTGACACATTCTAATGTGCTGCAATACTTAATTTAATTAAAAATAAATATCAAAATATTAATCTTAACATCTCCTCCTAAACTGAACAGTCCAATTCAGTTTAACTTTGGTGCATCACATACTCCTAGCTTCTTTCTAAGTCCCTGAAAGGTTCTTGTGTCGAGTGGCTTAGTAAATATATCTGCAACCTGCTGATGCGTGCTACAAAATTTTAACTGAACAACTCCTTCATTCACCAGCTCACGTAGGAAGTGGAACCTTACATCGATGTGTTTGCTTTTGCCGTGCATCACCGGATTTTTTGATAGCTTGATTGTTGAGTTGTTATCACAGAAAATAACAGGGTTGCTGCTTCCTTCATAGCCAATTTTGCCCAACACTCTTTTCATCCATATTAACTGACAAGAGCAAGCTGCTGCTGCCACAAATTCTGCTTCGGTTGTACTTAGAGTAACAATTGGTTGTTTCTTGGAGGACCATGCCACTGCTGCATCACTGAGAATGAAGGTATACCCGGATGTACTTTTTCTGTCCTCCACACATCCAGCGTAATCACTGTCGGTGAATCCTACTAGCTCTCTGTTTCCTTCTTTCCTGTAAAAGAGCCCATATTCAATAGTCCCTTGCAAATACCTTAAAATTCTTTTGGCTGCTGCAAAGTGAAGTTCAGTTGACATAGACATGTATCTGCTAATCAGACTAACAGCATACATTACATCTGGCCGAGTGGCTGTCACATACATCATACTTCCCACAAGCTGCTTATAGAGTGTGATATTTACCTTCACACCTTCTTCATCTTTGTGAATCTTAAACCCCGGGACAATAGGATTTAAGACAGAGTTGCTTTCCTCCATTCTGAATTTTGTTAGTAACTCTTTCACATACTTTCTTTGACACATGAAAATTCCATTATCAAGCTGCAACACCTCAATTCCCAGGAAGTATTTCATTCTTCCCAAATCAGTCATTTCAAATTCTTTCATCATGGATTCTTTAAACTCATTCATCATAGTTTGATCATTACCAGTGTAGATCAAATCATCAACATACAAGCTAATAATTAGGCATTTACCTTGTTTGTTGAATTTCGTGAAGAGTGTTTGCTCGCTGACATCCTTTACAAATCCCATCTTCTGAAAGTAAGTATCTATCCTGCTGAACCATGCACGTGGTGCCTGCTTCAATCCATATAGGGCCTTACGAAGCTTGTACACTTTTCTTTCAGCACCTTTGATTTCATACCCTCTTGGCTGGTCTACGTACACTTCTTCGGAGAGTTCTCCTTGCAAGAAAGCTGACTTTACATCTAGCTGATAGATTATCCAACTTTTCTGAGCTGCCAATGCTAAAATCATCCTCACGGTATCCATCCGAGCGACTGGTGCATATACTTCCTCATAATCAACTCCGTGTTCTTGTGCATATCCTTTTGCAACTAGCAGAGCTTTGTACTTTTCAACTTCTCCATATTGATTCAATTTAGTCTTATAAACCCATTTTACTCCTATACTTTTGGCTCCCTCCGGTAGATTAGTGAGAAACCATGTTTCATTCTTCTCAATGGATTGAATTTCTGAATTCATAGCATTTCTCCATTCTTGGCTCTTAGCAGCTTCTTCATAGCTAATAGGATCACATTCTATGAATAAGGCTAAATGTGAGGTGTGATCTTGACTTGCTTCAGCAGTTTCAGCTTCATCATTGACGTTATAGTCTGTCATCCACACTGGTCTCCTTCTGATACGACCTGTCCTTCTGACACAATCTCCTTCCCTTGTATTTGTGGCTTCAGGAGATGACGCAGCCGCTGCCATAGTGTTTTCTCTATCACTTCCCTCTTCATCTATGCTTGCTTTATCTTCTTCAGTGACAGTTTCTATAATAACATCAGAATCTTCATTGGTAACATCTTAAGTCTCAATTTCTCCTTCATTTATGTCATCTCCCCAGTCTAGATCAAGGCTTATCAAGCTGTCATAACTCTTATCCCAGCTCCACTTTTTCTCTTCTTCAAACACAACATCCCGACTAACAATGACTTTCTTGCTTATGGGATCGAATAGTCTGTAGCCTTTTGATTCTGAACTAACCCCAAACAGTACACAACTTCTGCTCTTATTCTCTAGTTTAGTGCGTTTGGCGTCAGGCACATGTACATGTCCTATACAACCAAACACCCTAAAATGTTCTACAGATGGCTTTATCCCACTCCAAGCTTCTATTGGTGTCATGTCCTTCACAGAAGAAGTTGGACTTCTGTTAAGCACGTAGAACGCCCAACTCGCAGCTTCAGGCCAAAAACTCTTAGGAATATCAACCATCATACTTCTTACCATGTTCATCACTGTTCTGTTCTTCCTCTCGGCTACTCCGTTTTGTTGCGGCGTGTAAGCTATGGTTAGTTGTCTCTTGATTCCATTATCTTTACAATAATCATTGAAAGCACTTGATGTAAATTCTCCTCCCCGATCTGTTCTTAAGCACTTAATAGACAGACTAGACTCTTTTTCAACACTACTCTTAAATTGCTTAAAGGCAGCAAATGCATCAGCTTTATAAGCAAGGAAATAGACCCATGCTTTCCTACTAAAGTCATCAATGAAACAAAGCAAATACCTCTTTTGGCCATTTGAAGCTGGTGAGACGGGTCCGCAGATGTCAGCATGGATTAATTCCAACTTAGTTGAAGCACGCCATATGCTTTTTTTTGGAATATTTTCTCTATGTTGTTTTCCTTTCAGACAATCTGTGCAAATGGAATCAGGTCCGAGAAGACACGGCATCCCTTTCACCATCTCTTTGTCCTTCAACATGCGCAATCCTGTGTAACCGAGATGGCCAAACCTTCGATGCCAAAGCTGTACCGAATCTTGGGTTGTGGACTGTAGACAAACTTCTTTTGTGTCCTTGTCAGAATACTTATCAGAGAGCACAACGAACATACGGTTGGAGGTCATGTTGCTCTGAAGGATGAGGCCCTTTGTTGAGTGATAAATGCAGCATTTATTATCCTTCATCACCACTGTTAATCCTTTTTCTTGCAGCTGTCCAAGGCTAAGAAGATTATTCCTTAGTTCTGGAACATAGAAGACATCCTGAACAAGATAGCTATTGCCTCCAAAGTATAGCCTGACAGTACCTTTACCAACCACATTTAACTGCATATGATTCCCTAGCCGCACTGTTCTTTGAAATCCATCTTCCAACCGATTAAATAATGACGGGTCTCCACACATGTGATTACTGCATCCTGAATCTAGAAACCACACATCAGTTTTGCTTTGCCCAAACGATTCATGATAAGCCATGAGCAACATCTCCTCAATTTCTTCAATTTCAGTGTAATTTGCTTGCTTAGCCATATTTGGACACTCATACTGAAAGTGACCCAACTGATGGCACTTATAACATTCAATGGTTGCCTTGCTATAGGGTTGCCGACCTCTGCCTCCTCTGCCCCTTCCTCCTCTGAAAGCTCCGCGGCTGCCTCGTCCTCTTCCACCATTGTTCTCACCGTATGCCACCGTGAGTGCTTGCTCTTCATCTACTTCCTTCTTGAATTTTTGCTCGTGCACAAGAAGGGAGCTTTGCAGCTCATCGACAGTAAGCTTGTCCATATCATTGGCTTCCTCAATGGAACACACAATATAGTTCCACTTTTCAGTGAGGGTTCTCAAAATCTTCTCGACGACCTTGACATCAGTCATATCTTCACCGTAATTCCTCATATCGTTTGCAATCATCATTACCCTACAGAAGTAATCATTGATTGATTCTCCTTGCTTCATGGCAAGGATCTCAAACTCTCTGCGCAATCGATTGAGTTGGGATCGCTGAACTCGAACATTGCCCTGGTATTTCATCTTCATTGAATCCCAGATTTGTTTCGATGTTTCCTTCTTTGGGATTGTCTTCAGAATTGACTTGTCAAGAGATTGAAACAAGTAATTCTTGGCTTTCAGGTCCTTCAACTGCATCTCTTCCGCCGTCTTTCTCTGTGCAGCCGTCGACACTTCTCCTGCAGCGGGTTGAACGAGGCCTGTGGTCACAACAATCCAATACTCTTTCGAACGGAGAAGGTTCTCCATGAGCATGCTCCAGTGATCATAATCACCATCAAATTTAGGAATTGATGGTAGATTAAAACGATCGCCGCCTTCGGACGCCATCTGCTCTTTCTCTCTTGATTTCTTGTGAAATTTTCTGCTTTGATACCAGATGTTAGAATCAAATGCTGGAAAACTTACTTAATTGAATAAAAGGCCAATAAATAGGCTTACATAATATCACACGATCTCCCTAACTGCCCCATTATATGTGGAGCAGTTTATTCCTTCCTAAAATCTAGGTACTGACTTTGACTGAAACAATAAAATAGTTAACAATAAGCTGACACATTCTAATGTGCTGCAATACTTAATTTAATTAAAAATAAATATCAAAATATTAATCTTAACAAGGATTACCCCCACTTATAAACACATGTTCATGCCATATATTGTCCGACGTGGGACTCTTAACAAGAATGATAATAGAAGTAGAGGATTTCTCTAACTACTCACAGAACAAAGTTCAACCAAGTACCTACTCAGTCCCAAACAGCAAGTTATTCGCGTTATACCTTCCAACTCCTAACAACTCCCCTTTATATATAGTTGAAGAGAACATTTTATTATTTAACTCGTATTGCTAGGCCAAACATATTTCCATCACTGACTTCTATGTAGCATTCAAACAACGCATACTTCATCCTCTCCCAAATCAGAACTTCACCTTCCTTGATCAACGCCTTGAAAAAGGGAATTGTAGACGACTAGACACATCCTCCCAGAGTTGAGTCAAAATTTCCATAATTGCGATCCTATTATGATTTCGAATGCCATTTAAGAAGAATACAATGCCGCAAGTCATGTAAACATGGATGGATGCCATCGGACACATGTTTGCAACTATGGAAGCAATGATGGAAGCTAACAAACACATGTTCTCAATGATGAAAGTTGCGGTGATCGACAGTTAGATTAAGAACGTCGAAAATTTTGACACGCTATTCGTTATGACACATCTATTGCAGAAAGTTGTTTGATAACTTCAGCTAGTTTGTGATGAAAATGGAATGGTGGATATGCCCGTGTTCTCTGATGAAGTCCCAACCAATTGGATAGGGAGAGCTGAAGTGTATTTCCAAATTCAAGATACTTGTTCTGAAATAAAAGTTGACTTGGGTCAACTCTGTAAGGATGGGTCTACCATTCCATTTTTTAAGGCGTTGATTGACTTTAAATGACGGATGACCAAGAAGACATTGATTGACTTAATTAATAAAAAAAGGAATTGTTGTTGCACATTAGATTTGGAGGAATATCTTGATTATCCAAGTAATAAAGTCATTCTATTCTCTAGCATTTTCAATTGTCCTTCTCAAATTCTTGTTCGGGAAAATACAAGCCTTGTTATTGAAAACAACCTTACATGATAGGCCTTTGTGAGCTTTTTTATGAAAATTTGGCTACTTGACAATTTCGGAATATGAAGAACATTTCGTAGGATTATAGGTGGGCTTATTTGAACATCTCCCTGACATGATATAGTTATAAGGGTACCATCTGCAGTAGATATTTTTTTATTGCTAAGAAAAGGTGAATAAATGAAAAAGTGTGTGGATAAGGATGTCATGTGGTGAATTTTTTTTTAAACAAGCCATGTATTATAAAAAAATTACCATATAAATGCCATTTTCAAAAAATTTACGAATCCAACTAGGTTTCCGCAGGCTGTCGCCGTTTCAATTGGCGAAATAGGCAAAAAAACAATTTAGGCTGAAACAAATTCGCCAATTCATTTGGCGAATGAGGCAAAAGTGAAAGAAATTGCCATACTACGTGGCGACGTAGGCTTGGGTTGACCGTTTCCAACTTTCAATTAATTTTTTACTCAATTTAATGTTTTTTAATTGAATTTGCCTCATTTGCAATATGATGTGGCGAATTCCACTTTTCAATATTTTTGTTACACACATTCGCCATCTCAATTGGCGAACGAATGTTAGTTTGTTAGCCATTTTGGAATTTTTTTGAAATGTGCAATATATTGGTAATTAATAATTAATACATAGTTATTATAAAAAAAAAATCGTCATGTGGTCAATGAATTCAGTATCTAATATTGGTTATAGAGTTTATCCGGAGCATTATATTAAAAAAAAAAATTGAGACTCTCCAAGAGGAAGTGGAAATGGAAAGGCACATGAATGTGCCAGTTAAGAGATATTCATTGGTTTCTCCAATTTACTAGGGAGAAATTTGAGCCTTTCTACTTCATATTAGTTGAATTGAATCAATCTTTCTTCTGACATATGGATTGATGCCAGTCTTGCTCAATAGAATAAAAAAGACAAGCAAATAGTAATAAAGAGGCCTGCAAGCCTGAATCAAGTAAAATTCAAATGAACAGTACAAATACAGTGAACAGTGCCGCAAAATGAGCAGTATTCGTACTAAACAAAATTTCTGCGGAACAATATTTTTTGAATCTCAAAGAGTTCACAATGTGGCCGACAGACTAAATAAAGTGCAATGAAGGCGGAAGAAACACCCATCACTAAAATATCTTGGGTTTGTTTATAATACCCTTATCCTTAATTACCTTCCCATCACTAAGGTAGAAAAACCCTTTCACAAAAAAAAAAAAATTCTCAAAAAGGGTGGTCAAAATTGGTCAATGAGTATGGAAGAAAATAATCTTGGAGATGAATACTTTTTTATTATAGAGTTGAGTTCCATATCGCAGGGAACTCAGTAGCAAACAGTGACAAGATAAATCATGGAGGATGGCACCTCTTTCATACCATGTTTAGCAGTTGAAGTTGTAGGGTTTTTAGATAAGGAATGGCAGAAGAGAAAGAATTAAGATTTGAATAAGGAAACAAATCGAGAAACAATAATGAATATAGAAACCAATCCTATGATATTCTAAATTTAACTAAGTCTGATCCAAATATTATGAGATGTTTTTCATATCTTCTAAAATCATGTTTACCTTTTTTTCCGTCTTTCTAGCATACAACTTTTCAAGACTAGATATTTCGATAATGGTGCATACTTTTGAAACTGATGGCATGCTTATGTTGGATGTAGGCGAGCTTTATACCTGGGGACGAGAAGAAGGAGATGGTCGATTGGGCCTTGGTCCTGGTCGGGGCCCAGATCATGCAGGTGGACTTAGTATCCCTTGCAAAGTAAAAGAGTTACCTTTCCCTGTTGCTGCTGTTTCTTGTGGGGGATTTTTCACAATGGCGTTGACAGAGGAAGGACAACTGTGGAACTGGGGAGGTATTTGTCACCTCTTTTATATGATTTATTTTCTCTGTTTTTCTTGAGAATAGTACAATCCATTTATGCAGTGCTTTAGTTTTGGTAGATTCACAATCTCAGTATTTTATCAGCAAATTCTAACTATGAACTTGGGAGAGGTGATAAAATTGGTGGTTGGAAACCAAGACCAGTTCCTAGCCTTGAGAAGGTTCGAATAATTCAAATTGCAAGTGGAGGATATCACTCCCTTGCGTTAACAGGTAAACTGATGCAAATTGATGCGACTTTAAGCTAGCAATACCATTTTATTTCTATTCCCAATGGTTTGTATCGTTTTAAGTATTTCAGTCTTGTTTTATGTTAGATGATGGCAAAGTACTTTCATGGGGCCATGGTGGACAAGGTCAGTTGGGTCACGGATCTATCGAAAGCCAGAAGATACCAACATTAGTCGAGGCTATAGCTCATGAGCATATTATATATATTTCTTGTGGGGGCTCTTTTTCAGCAGCTGTCACAGGTAAGATGATTCATCTCACGTGGCATATCTTACTATATAAAATTGTTTACTTCAATACATAAATAACTTTTATCCTTTACCACGAGTCCTCTAGAGTCTATAGTCTAATGACCTGCTCGAGTGTAATTTTTAATGTAGTGCTCCAAAATGTACAGCATTGTAAGCTATGTTTGATGGTGCCACCATTAATTACTTTGCAGTTACAAGTCCTTTTTATATCACTTCCGCAACATATATTAAGATTGAAACAAAGATTTGTGTTCTATCTCCATGATTTTTTTAATGAAGTTATGTTAGACCTTAAGAATTACTAGGAACGAAAACTGAATGTGGTCGTTCTATTATGTCACGCAGTTACTTTTTATTAGCAATTATTGTTTTTAATATTAACTTTTAGCAGCAGTTATTAAGTACTTATTTGGGGAGCATGAATAAAATGAGGAAACCGTAGGTTAGATGAGTTATCCGGGAAGATTAAAAGTGATTATTTGGGAGGGAGAGACCAAACTCTCGAATTCTTGGAGGGAGAGAACCAAGACTCTCGAAATTCTTGGAAACTTGTAATTACTATTAAATTTCATTGTTTGGTACTAGTTTCTATCAAGTTACTTGTGAAACATTCCGTTAACAAGAAAAGCTTAGAGATTGAAAGATTTGGGTACTGAAAATTGTTGAGCTGTTGTTCTTTGTTAATGAAACATAACTACTATTAGAATTTAGGTTGAGTTTACTCAACTCACAAAAACAGTTTGTAAGGTGAAGAGTGTCTCTACTTATAAACATATGTTCTGGACATCTCTCATTTAGTGTGACTTTTAATACACCTCCCTTACACTCAGGACCGAAAATATGGAGTATGACACGAGTGATCCAATAGCGGAAACCTGATAGCAGCCTAATAGATTATTGATAGACTCTGATACCATAATAAAATTTGGGCAGAGTATAACTCAACCTTACAAAACTGGTGAGGATTGTCCCTATCTATAAACATATGTTTAGTTCATCTCTCATTCAATGTGGAACTTTTAATAGTAACGGTCACATAGCTTCCAAATAGAGGTTGACATAATCCCACTTTAAGAGTTTTGGAATGGGATTGATGTTTCAATTAGGGTTTGCAAAGCAATATGTGTGTGTTTATCAAGTTTACAATGATATAGCATTGTGGCCTAGCATGAGTCAGGAATTTGCAATTGCATTTGGAGCCAAAGTAACCGTGTTTATCTAGTTCATGATCTGGTGTTGTCGATATGAGTATGGTTAACAATTTCTCAAGTTAAGTCAGTGAAAATTTTAACATTTACTTTTTGGTTCTGAGCAGATAAAGGAAAGTTATATTCGTGGGGAAATGCCGCAGATTCGCAATTGGGAGTTCCTGGACTACCAGCAATACAATCCTGCCCTGTTGAAGTCAATTTTTTAATGGAAGATGATGGATTGGGACCACACAAGGTTTTATCAATTGCAAATGGCGCATCACATGCCATGTGTTTAGCTTTGAGGGAAAGGGAAAGTTGTTGATTTTTCCTGTTGGCATGGAGATAGCTGATCTTGAAAAAGGTATATTTCATTGGTGAAATGCAGAAAAAGCTTTTCTTTTTGCGGAGTACTAATTTATCAATGAATAGATTATGATTACAGATTATTGTTACAATGGATTCAGATCTCAAACTCATTATCAGTGCTAGGGTGGGGTGTTTTGTGTGATTAATGTCATCAAAGAACTATCCTACTCAATTTAGTTTTGGCAACTTCATATTTTTTATATCTAACTTGACGACATGAGGATTAACTTTGAAGAATCTCTAGCTAAATGTCTGGTTATACACTTGCAATTTTTCTTTTAGGTAATATTGTAAGATGAGCATGAGAAGACGAATTCCAGTGTCTTTTTCTTTTACGGTTCACAATAAATGTGAGTTTTTTTTGGAATTTAGAAATTTTTGCCAATCCAATGATATTACTTGTGTGTTCATTTCTTTTTTTCTTTCAAGTTCATGGAACTTATTTATTTATTGTGAGATACAAGAACGGTCAATAATAGTCTATTAGATCAAAACTAACTATGGGTTGAAGGGACACTTGATAATAATAGGTTCAAAGTTGAATCTTTTACTTCAATTATATTGTCGATTGAGATTAAAAATGCAATTGAAGTATCACGCGACTTCTTTGAGATATTATCCACATTCTCCATCCTTCTCGTCTATTCGTCTTCATTCCTATTATCAAAATAATTGTTGCCCATTTTTTAGTAAGAGCAGTTAAACGATAATGTGGATTGACCCGTTCAAACCAAAAAAAACCTTTGATATAGTTGGATGTTGACTTGTTGACAATTGTTTAGCTGTTGTTAAAGATATATTTGGATGTTGACGAGATGTTTGTTGACAATTGTTTAGCTGATGTTAAAGGCGGGTGTAGGCGATTTGATAGAGAATGCGTGAATAAGATGGTTATAAGTTTTTATTTAGGGCGATTTGATAGAGAACGCGTGAATAAGATGGTTATAAGTTTTTATTTAGGGCTCTCCGCTTCAATACTAGTGATTGATTTCAAACAAGTTTTACCTTCCCTAGTTTTAGAATTGTTTATAAATCAATTGTGATCTTCCATTAGAGATGATGAGATATGTAAAGCGGATTTTAACATGAACTATGGAAGGCTCTCGGACCATATGATTTTCTGGTTGGTTTTTATTAAAAAGTCATGGAATTATATTAGGGATGACATATGCAAGTTTATTAAAATGGTATGGTGTAATCCGAAATATGTTGTGAATATTTGCTTACTTTCAAAGGCTAGGGATGATAATTTGACCTATTTTTAATGAGCAACTACAAAATTATCTACAAAGGATAGAGTAAAAATCCGCAAAATGGATATGGATACACGTTTAGGTAATTACTCACGAAAATAAACGGGTATGAATGCGGGTATGAGCACCTTGGTACCTACCATGTCACAGATCCGCACAATATATATTTATGTATTTTAATTTATATTTATATATTTTAACTTATATTATTATATGAAAATGTATGTCTACCAATTTTAAAAAGTATATAAATGTTAAACCATTACGTATTTAATATAAGTGTTTGTTTATTTCAACAATATATTTTTTGAAATTTTTTTAATGTTTTAAAAACTTAAAATAATATGATATTTTATAATCGATCTATTTATTTTTAATAAGAATGCGGGTAACGGGTGTGAGTACCGGTACTTACATACTCATAGGATATGAGTATGGATGTTAACTTTGACGTTCAAGTGGACATAAGTTTAGATACGAGGATTTTTTAAAATCGCGGATATAAAGATATATATTATAGTACCTTGCCCATTGTCATTTCTATCAAAGGCACAAAATCCACAAATTGTGAATTAGTTCACCCTGATTTCTTTGTGTAATATCCATAAAATTTTGAGTAAAATCATTTTTAATTGGTTGAAAGATTGCGTTGCAATATATATATATATATATATATATATATATATATATATATATATATATATATATATATATATATATATATATATATATATATATATATATATATATATATATATATATATATATATATATATATATATATATATATATATATATATATATATATATATATATATATATATATATATATATATATATATATATATATATATATATATATATATATATATATATATATATATATATATATATATATATATATATATATATATATATATATATATATATATATATATATATATATATATATATATATATATATATATATATATATATATATATATATATATATATATATATATATATATATATATATATATATATATATATATATATATATATATATATATATATATATATATATATATATATATATATATATATATATATATATATATATATATATATATATATATATATATATATATATATATATATATATATATATATATATATATATATATATATATATATATATATATATATATATATATATATATATATATATATATATATATATATATATATATATATATATATATATATATATATATATATATATATATATATATATATATATATATATATATATATATATATATATATATATATATATATATATATATATATATATATATATATATAACAAAAGGGCTTATGATGAAACAAATGGTAAATTTGGATATTTTGATATAAGAACGGTCCTTGCTAAAGCTTATGATAAACTTATTTTTTTTGGCATTTGTCTATTGCTCATGCGGTGTACATCATCAATCACTTATCTTCCCCTCTTATCTACTACAAAACTCACTATTTTTATTATATAATAAACATTCTGGCTACAACACTTTTAAATGTTTCGGTTGTTTTGCATATGCTTCTATACTACCAAATTTTTAACTTCCAAGAATGATATCTTATCATGTTATCCTTCTATAACCTCCCATAAACATCTCCATCTCCACCTATCTCCACTATGATATACGTACCACCAATTCCCCTGACTCTACCGATCCTACCCTTACCACCCATTTCCCACCTCTTCCCACCTCTCCAGTTGCCAACCCTCATTACCCGTAAATCTTCTAGAATTTCTAAACCACCTTCCTATTTTACTGACTATCATTATAAACCTTATGAACAACACCTCATCCTCTCCTTTTGCAACCACTTTTTCTCTATCCTTTGTCCTTACATATGATAACTGTAACATAACTTACAAAATTGTTTTGCCTTGCCTTTTCATCTACAATTGAATCCTTCATCTTTTTCAAAGCCAATAAGCACGATTGTTGGCTTAAAGTCATGCAATCGAAGCTCCAAGCTCTTGAACATACTAATACTAAGACTATTGCTAACCTCTCTTCTAATAAAAACCCCATAGATTGTAAATGGGTATACAAAATTAAACATCTTTCTAATGGTATGATTGACAGGTACAAAGTTTGGCTTGTAGTCAAAGGCTACATTGAATTATAAAGGGTTGACTATTTGGACATATTCTTCCTGGTTGCCAAGCTTACCACTATAAGAACTCTTCTCGCATTGATATCTATTAAAAAAATTGGTATTTTCATCAGTTAGATGTCTATAACGCCTTCCTCCACGGAAATTTAAATGAGGAAGCTTATATGTCTATCCCTCAAGTCTATGAACTCTCTCATTCATCCCCTCATACTAAGGTTTGTAAGCTTAAAAAAAGCATATATGGCCTCAAGCCGGCCAACAAACAATAGTATTCCAAATTGTCTGACTCTTTGCTTTTTATTGGTTAATGTTCATTCTACTGCTGACTACTCTTTGTTTACTAAGTCTTATGGTCTTAACTTTATTGCTTTATTAGTTTATGTTGATGATATAATGCTGACAGGGAACAACCTTACTGAAATACAAAATGTTAAAGCTATTCTACACACTAAATTTCGCATCAAGGATTTGGGTGCTCTTAGATACTTTCTTGGTCTTGAAGTTGCTTATCTTCTTTTGGTATTCTGTTAAATCAGCGCAATTATACTATAGATTTATTAAAAACTACATGTATGCTTGGTGCAAAACCTTCTCATACTTTTTACATTTCTTTTTTAACATTACATTCTTCGACAACCCTACCTTATCATGATCACATTCAATATCGTCGATATATCGACCAACTTATTTATGTAACCACCACTTATCCCAATATCTCGTTCGCTTTCCAACAATTAAGCCAATTTGTTGCTCAGCCTATTATTATCCATTTTTAGGATGATATACGAGTTTTACAATATTTAAAAACCTGCCATACTTAAGGCCTCTTTTATCCAACTCAAACTAACTTAATGCTTTATGGTTTTGCAGATAGTGATTGGACGACTTGCTCAGCAACACGTCGACTGGTAACAAGTTTCGCGATCTTACTTGGCATGTCTCTCATATCTTGGAAGTTAAAGAAATAATCTAATTTTTCTTGCTCCAGCTTCGAAGCTGAATATAAATCCTTTGCTACTCTAACATGTGAAATACAGTGTGTTGCAGTGAGAATCAGATATCAAGATATTAATTAACTTGAATCACAAATCTATGAAATTCACCACCGAGCTTTGATTTGTCCAAAGAAAAGGGTAAAGATCGAAGAAAACCATAAGTGAGCTATGTAACAACACAACTAAAGATCTAAGGTTCGGGGGTTGGTTATACCTAGGGAAGGTGTTAGCATCCTAAATATCTGCAATACTCTACATGAACCTCTTGTTAGTATTTGTGTTATGCTAAAATTTGCTTGCTAAGGAAAATGTGCTAAGGGAAAAACCTAAGGTATTTACTAAGTATGCTCGCCAAGACATCTCATCTCGTGCCTACGTATCCTAACTAGGATGGAATCAGAGCATTCGTAGTTCACCTAACTAGGGATGAAGAACACTTGACTATGACCAAGTGTTGCATCGTTGCAAAGAGGGGGGCCGACAAGGACAGAAGAGTCGCCACTGTTTGTTATTTATCCCAAAAAAGGGAAAGGAAACGA